TGGAGCATTATAATGCCAACGAAAAAAACCTGTTTAAGAAAAAAAAATAACAAAAGAATATTTTTATGCATCGAACTTATGAGAATTATTTTTAAGTCGAGACAATGTGCGCCATGAGTTATGAATACCCTGAAACGAGTTCATGTTATTATCTTAATGCTGTCTAGATCTGGTGGTTTTTTCGCATCATCCCATTGACTCCCTCAGGAACACTGGAAAAAAATGAATTTCGACTTCGAATTTTCCATAGAGATATCTCTTTAAACAGAATAGTTTATCGCGAAAGTTTTAAATCTTTTCGTAGTTCTTATCTTAAGACACGTCTATGGTAAAAGCGTGCCTTTTATATCGTTCATAGACACCGGTAGATTCGATGTTCTTATTTCAGGATACAAGCACATCAAAAGATATGACACTTTCCTGGTTTTAAATATTACTATATAGACAATCTCATATTTAAATTAACCACGAGTAGAAAGCTGCGGGTCCGGGTCCAACCTTTTATTTTTTATTGGGCCCCGTTACACGTTTTTGTGGACCCGCTACTCGTCAGATGAGAAATATAGCAACAAGATATAGCTGTATATTGAGTTTTTTCTGAGAGTAGCGAATAAACAGCTGAAACCTTGATCCTTCATTTGTTCATGTACACGAAGGATCCCAAGTACTGATGGTAAAAATCTCGAGTTTGAACTCTCTCGGGTTCACAAAAACGTGGACCCACAGTTCCATAATCATGGAATCTTAGTAATGTATTTTTTTTACGAACTGCAACTATATAATAGTTGTTATTTCTATGTATATCTGTATATTTTTTTTGCTGTATAAAACAAACTTAAATTGTTGATAATTTTATTTTGTTGTAAAATTCTATGAAAATCTTTATTTTAATTAATTAAATAACTTACTATCAATTTGATTATATGGTTCCATATTTCCAATATATTCACGAATTTGTATTCGATAATCATCTTTATGATTTGAAATACGAAATGATTCATACATTGCTATACGAGTTTCATTATGCCAATCAGTTAATTCAATTTTAAGACGACAATGATAATTATTTGTTAACCAATAAAGATTTTCATTACCAATCCAAAAATCTATTTGATTTAAAATATTACCAAAACCTCGACGATATTCAACCCATGTTCGATTAAAATTTATATAATTTGTTTGTCGATTTTGAATTAAAAACCATTCATAATATGTATGATTATTATGTAATATTGGACAAAAAAAATTCGATATTGTTTCATTAAATCCAACATGTAATTCTAAACAATGTGTAGTTTGATTTTGTTTTGGTTGAATAAATGTGTGACAAGAACAATCGATATTATTACTAGGAAAAAAAAAGAGCAAAGAAGAATAAAATAAAATCCAAAAATAATGATAAGATAAAGAAAATGTATTGATACATACTATTTATAATTAAATGATTGACTATGAGATTCATGATATAAAGTTTGATTATGATATGAATTTAAAACAGCAAGTATTTCGTCTTGTTTAGTATTAAAATGTTCAAGTTGAATATAGATAATAATAAGAATAATCATATAGAAAAATAAATGAATAAGAAGAAAATAACATCGTCCAATTGTAGTATTTGACATTGTTGATGTATATCTTTGAAAATTTACATTAGAATTATCTATTCTTGTTGTTGTATGTGGTAACATATGAATTAATTAATGTCGTAAATTTTATTTTAATGAAGTAGAATTAAGTTATTTAAATTGCTTTTTTTGAATGCAATGTATGTATATAAAATACGTCATTCATTCATTCATTCATTCATTCATTCATTTTTTTTTACTAATCAAGATCTATAAATAAGAGCATGTTTATTTTCATGTCTAAAAGTAAAAGGTTTGCTTTGAAAGAAAAGAAAAATGTAGAAAAGGAAGAATAATCGAAGTAGCACGCAATTGCATCACATAAGATTGTAATACTATAACTTCCAGGGAAATGAACAACATAATTCAACCGTTTACCTCTTTTGACACTCGAATAATGAACGAGAGAGAAAAAAAGATTTTCTGCGTAAAACGTACGTAAAAATATGGTTAAAAATAAACTTAAGAGACTTCTGCTTCATTCTTGTACTTCTGAAGAATGACTGATCAGAAAAATTTCAATATATATAAATCTTGATGAACAAAGCAAAAGGTTTTATTGCTTCGAAATTCTCAAATGCTTTTCTGCATGAGATATCACAGTCGCAAGGGATAAAAGTCCCCTTCTCCACCCTAATCGCTCAGCTATAATATGTCTGATAGAGCTGATACTTTTTTTTTATAGATACTAGACACTACTTAGGTTGTCTCCTTCTCTTGGTTTCTTTTTCTTACCGTCGATTCGAATAAAAACATCAAAGTGCTGAGCGTACCTTCAAGGATACATCTTTTCTTTTAACCAGAGTGTTCAGCTCGATCATATATACTATGGTCGAAAAACCAGCGAAATAATATGTAAAGTTTGATGTTTTTTCAACTTTATATTTATAGATTAATTTGAGGTATGTCTAATAAATAGAGGGGATTCTTTGAAGCATATATAGCGTAAAAAAAAGAAAGATCTGAAAATTTCCGGTAGGAAAAGTGAAGTTTTTCTAAGTATCAATCGATGTCAGAATAATACAAATATATATCTATATATTGCTTTTTAAAAAGAAATCAATTGATTTTTGACAGCTGTCTATATCAAATGAACGTTTCAGCAGTGAGAAAGAAAGAACTTCAAACACAATAAAAATTTTGACGATTTAATCGATGCATTTCAATAAACATATTGAAATTAAAGATTAATAATTATATTAATAGAATAAAGAATCTCATTTTTTTTAGTAGAATATCTTCTGAACCGTTCATAAATAAATTTAATTGAATGTAATTCAACAAGCACCAACTATGAGAAAAATAAATCTGATCTTCGGAGTGATACCCTCTTCTGGAGTCTAACACTGGATAAAGCACCGAGAAGGAAACCTTTTCAGATGTTAAAATCGCTTTTCGACTGAGACGATGTTCATTTGATAAGTCATAGAAAAGTCTAGAATGGTTTGGTTTTTCAGACCTTTGTCCTTGAGATATCGAAATTTTGCTGAGTTTGCCAGCAAAAAGCTTTGATCAGGTAAAAAATTGACTTTCGACTTTGTTCCTGCAAAATTTGAAATCGAGAGTCAATTTTTTACCTGACCGAAGTTTTTTATTGAAAAACTCAGTAAAATTCCGATATCTCGAAAATGAAGATTCGGAAAAATAAACTATTCGAAACTTTTCTATTATTCATCAAATAAACATCTTCTCGATTGAAAAGCGATGTGACATCTGAAGAAGTTCTCTTGTGAATATGAATTATTACTATTTCTGATTTCATTTTTCATTCATTTTCTTTTCAGAAATACAATAATCAATAACATTACACAAATGAACTTTTATTATCATATTAAATCTTTTATATTTCAACAATAAATAATTTTTCTTTTTTATTAATATAGAAAAGAGGAAAAAAAAATAAATCGAATATATTTCTTATTTTTCTTTTAAGATATTTAAAATAAAAACTTATGGCACGAATTGCCGATTTAGCTAATGTATGTTAACTAGTCTATTGTAATATTCTTTTTCTTTTTATTAAATTAATTTATCTATAGATTGATGAAGTATCGGATCTCAATTCTGAATTTGATAATAATGAAAAAGATGAAAAAAAGTAAAGAATAATTATTATTAAAATCTTACGTGTAAATATTCATACATTTTAGACGAAAACGTAATGATCTTTGTGAAAAAATAACTTTTCATCAAACAACTGGTCTTGCACGTAAAGATGATCGAATACAAAATGCTAATAGGTAGATTTTAGTAATTTATTTATCATAAAATTTTGTTTTTGTTTTTTAGAGAACGATTTCGTTCACAATTTATGGCAATGAATGCATATGAACGACATAAACGATTAATAAATGATTATGTTCGTTATTATTCAAAAGAAAAATCTTTTGATACTATTTTTAAACGTGATACGTAAGTGAGTTTAGATTCTTATTTTTATTTCTCTAATGTGTTTATTATTGAAAACATTTTTTTGTAAATTCTTAGTTCAAATGATAAAACTGATTTAGATATTATTCGAAGTGAACATAGATTTTTATGGGATGAAGAAGAAGATGAACCAGATGAAACATGGTAATTATATTTTTCATTTTATAATGAATATATTTTTCTTTTTTTCTTAGGGAAAAACGTTTAGCTAAAAAATATTATGATAAATTATTTAAAGAATATTGTATATGTGATCTTAGTCATTGGCAAGAAAAAAAAATTGCAATGCGTTGGCGTATTGACCGAGAAGTTGTAAATGGGAAAGGTAATATCATAGATTCATGTACGACTTCAAATTTTTTTTTTTTTTTGGTGACTGTAATCACGAAGTGTGACTTCAATCTTGAAAGATACTTCGAAGTTCCAGCGTTTTATTATTTTCCACAAATCCGGTGAACTTTAGCAAAAATCTTCTAATTGACATCCTAAGTCATTGCTGATCATCCATCAATGCTGGGATCTCAGGAGCTGCGAGTTCTTCCGGATTCGGATCTCTAAAAACTTAGACCCATGGCTTTCTACTCGAAACATCTCTAGTAATAATAATAATTAATCAATGTTCTTATGTTTATATCAAAGAATTATATTTGAATAGCTATTAATCTAATAAGAGAAAAGATCTTCGGTGTTTACACGCTCTTTTTTCTAATCCGATTCAATGAACTTGCAAAGAGATTTTATATTATCAAAATTATGATTGTTTTATTAGATTTTTTAATTTAAGTATCGTAAATGAATTATGAAATTATAACCTTAGATAAATTTTATATGTAAAGAAAAAAAAATAATAATCTTTTGTTTCATGTATGCAAAACATTTTATCAAAGTTTTTTATTACTTTAGGTCAATTTATATGTGGTGAAAAACGATGTGATGAAAAAGAGAATTTACGAAGTTGGGAAGTTCTATTTGGTTATGTTGAACATGGAAAAAAACGAGAAGCCTTAGTTAAATTAAGTAAGCAAAAGAAGCAAAAGAATTTTAATTAAAATCTTTGTTTTTTTTTTGTTCAAGGATTATGTCCATCATGTACAAAAAAACTTCATTTTGGTCATAAGTAAAATTTAAAAATTAGAATTTTTTTTTTTGTGTTCGTACAATCAAAAAGATTTCTTTTTTAGAGTGAAAGAAGTTGTACCTAAAGTAAAAGAAACAGATTCTGAAGTAACAGAAATTACTGAATCATCATCATCTGTACAAAAAAAGAGTCGTCTTGATAATGATGATGATCAAACAACACTACCAGATGATGGTCAAATATGGTCAAAACCATTAGCAGAAACACGCGAAACAACAAGGTTAATATTTTGATTATTTTATTTTATTTTATTTTATTTTATTTTATTTTATTTAGAGAAGACGAATTCGAAGAATATCTTCAAACATTATTCTTCTAAATTGTATATTTAATTTATCGAATAAACAAACAAGGAAAAACAAACAAACTAATTCTTAAAATTTTGCTTCTTGTTTTTTAAAATTAAACATCTGAACCATTACGTAATTTTCTTTGAAATAATTCATTAAGAATTTCTCCAATAATTAATGAATTTGAATTAGCCGATATAATCCATAATGCAAATAAATTATCAATAGGAAAATATCGACGAAAATATTGAAATTGTTTTTCTTTTGTTATACGATTTGAAAGAATTAAATCTAAATTTTCAATAAGAAATATATTACGTGAATGACGAAAAAATATTCTATATATAAGATAAATTATATCAATTATTGTTATTATTAATAATATTCCAAACCATATCCATAATATAAAATACATTTTTTCAATAAATATATTTATTACAAGTATACATTCAACTGTATATTTATGACGTTCACCTAATTCACGTATTTGAAAATCACATAATGTTATACGTGGAAATAATTTACTTTCTGGTAATGAAAAATCAAAAAATAATTTTTTAAATACATTAAAACCATATTCCATATAATTAATATTATGATAACTAAGAAAATATTGAAGAAATAATATTTGAAAAATTAAATTACATATATAAAGAATTTTAATAAATATATAAAAACAAGCTAAAAATGAACCTGTACGACCTTGACAAAATAAATAACATTGACGATTAATATGTTGAAAACGTGATAAACTTTTACGATTAGGAAGATTTACATATTCTTCATATCGTTGAAGACAATCAGAAATATATTTTATAGCTGATAAAATCAATAGAAAAATAGATTATATATATATATATATTAATAACTATGTAATTTGAAACATACCTCTATTTTGATCTTCATCATTATCAAATGATTCATATCTATTTGATACATTAACAAGATTTCCAATTGATAAACCTATTTTATCATTAAATGATTGCCATATAATACGTGGTAAACTAAAAAATAATGCTTGAAGTAAAAGAACAAAATGAATCCATTGATAATATTTTAATGTTCGTTCACGTCGTAAATTAAAATCTTTAGGAATTATTTGATTTTCTGCTACATGATATGTATTTTGAATAAAACATAATAGATCTGTATAATCTTCATAATTGTCAGTAAACTGTGCTGGAACCCAACATTTTAATGGAGTA